CTTTGCCCTGTATATCATATCAGTTAATCCATGTAAGTAAACGAGGGATTCATTTATGCAAATTCCATCCCTAAAAGTAAACAGGGGACTAAATGCTGACATGAAAGATTGTCTTGATTAATTTGTCTTATCCGATCCTCCAATAGGAAACGACCCCTTAATGTATATGTGAGCCCAATTGTAATGAGCCGCAGCATATCTTTCTTTTCAGCGATAAAAGAGTGAACAACTCGCCCCTCTTTGTCTCTCTCGCTTGAACCGCCGCCTCGCTCTTTCTCCGGCCGACGTTCATCTGCTCTACCTTCTTCTCACCATCAAAATAGGTGACTCCTTTACTCTTCATCTTTGATATGCACGAATATGTTTGTTTTCATTTAACAATGAGAAAATTGGAAATCAAAATCGATTGTTCTTTAGCTCCTTCTTAAATATATTATAATTTTTTATTTCCTTTTGAGAAAAAAATGATTAATCTGGAAAATGAGAAGAAAATTTATGTAAAAAACGATGTTGGAATCTTCTGTTCCAGATTGCATACAGATTACTGTTTGAAGTAACACAATTTCTTGTATGAGCCAGTCTAACCGTTAGGCAGGTCGATCAGTAATACTGATATGATGTTTCCTAGTAAAATTATGCATATTTGCACAAAATGGTATGTTGTTTAATGGTTAGGCAAAGAACTGGAGCAATTCTTGATATAAAGTTGGTTGTTTGTTACAATAACAATCAAATCAACAGGCACGAAACCGAACGTGTTGATGAACATCAATTCCCTCACGAACCGAGCTCGAGTACAATATAGACATTTTTTAAGAAGCAAGTTCAGACAAAGAAAAATGCAAACTGTAACTCTTAACGAACAGAGCCGAGCTCGACACTGTTGGGTTCCTTTACACTCCTAATCCTGCAAAATGATTTTCGAACCTCCAAGTACATATATGAGTGTCGAAATTAGAAGGGTGTTATGTTTTGATCCTTATTCTCAAACGATCCTTATCTAAATGCCGAGTTTTTACTTTTTAGAATATGGGTGATGCTGACTTGATTAATGATTCCTCTGCATTATGCATCTTCTCGAGTGAGGTGTTTTACAGAATATGGCAGGCTTAATTTTATCCACCTTCATTTATATTACCTTTTGTTATTTTTAATCAGATTTGGTCCAAATGTCCGGTGTTGATGGTTCTCAAATATTACGCGTGGTGGCTGCAGTTGGTGCTTCTGTTATTGGTGGAAGTTTTACTCTTGGTCTGGTGATCTCTTCCATTTCCGAACGTGTCACATTTTATAAAAAGGTTACAAAAAATCCTTCGTTCGAAATCTTTAAATGATCTTATCTTAGATTTCTTATGAAGTTATAGTTTTTTTCATTTTTTTTTTCATGTGTTCCCTATGTTTTTTTGTAGCGTTTGTGAATCTACTTGCGGTATAATTCATGTTACTTTTATAGAAAAAACATGGGAAGCCATGCTGGGCTTGTAAAGCAGTGGGTTACTATGCGTGCAAGCTATGCAGAGGAAATGGCACCCTAAAGTGGTCCCCTCTCTTTGACCCAGTATATATAAACCCTTGCGTGTGCCCGACTTGTGATGGATTCAAGTGAGTAATTTCTGGTTTGACAATTCTCTTTTTGTTAACTAAATTATTTTGTGAAAGCTGAAAAGTGTCGTTGTTGTTGTGTTATATGGAACAAGTCACTGAAAGTGTTATTCTTAAATCAATCATCTTTTCTTGTTTTTTCTGTTATTTGCAGGGTTCAACGCTGTCTTAACTGCTTGGCCTGTGGTTTTACGTGATTGATGTGGGTGAGTTGATTTGTGTTTTTTGCTGTTATTATTCTGGGATTTTGAGTTACAATACTATATTGAAGAATTTTAACCTTGTCCGGGAAGTAAGTACGAGCATGTTTTTTACTACGTTTTTATAGTCGAGCACTCAGACCTACTTTCTTTAGTTTACCTTTCTCATACGTGAAACAATGATATTCTCTTCAAACTTTCTTGTCATGGATAGCTTTGTCGGTGTTTCTTTGCTTGGCTAAGACATCTAATAATGTCCTCTTTGGGGGTTGGCTTTTGTGCTAATATGCATGTCAATTTGAGTGAATGCATATTCTGTAAGAAATGTCTGAAGATGAGCTTTATGGTATATAGAATGTCATACCCATTAATCGAGCAAAAAAATTGCTTCACTTGTTACGAGGCGTGGTAACAACTTTGGTTTGATAATGTGATGAACATATTTATGTTAAATAGGATCTGTGACCCCTAAAATGAATAAATGAACTATTTTAAAAAAATAAAAAATAAAATCGTGCCTTATCTTGTTTATAAGGCCAATCCTAATATTAATGCGTCATCTATACATAGAGAAGTGCAACGATATATATATGTCCGATTTATACGTTTACGCTTTATGTGCGTGTGTTTAAAATGAGAATGTGCCTACTGCTTTTCAGAACAGTTTCATAGTTGAATCATGATTGGAGCAAAGTTCTATATTAAATCTTTAGAGAGACATTATTTCCATTTTAATTTATCGATTTTGTTATTCTAACTGTCCGAGTTCCAATTACCACCAGAAGTTTTGCAGTAGATCATAATGTTCAATTTATATCTGATATTCAGTGTCTCTAATGTTGTTGTTGGCCAATGTATTGATTGATGCCACACACTCGTTTTTCTTCGTTTTACTTGTCATCTTTGCTGGGTGCAGCCTAGTTAACTTGGTGAAAGATCTCGGTTTTGGTTTCGTGAGAGGCTTATTGGACTACAAAACTTCCTTATTCTTGAGACAAACGGGTGGACGATTAATTGATAACATCATCAAGTTTAAAGACCAGATTCGCTCGCTTTTGTGGTGAGTCTCGGATATTAAGAGTGTTGATGTATTTGGTTCGGATCCATGTGATAAGACTTCATGTATTACTTCCGAATGTTTAATTTGGAGAGAGTTTTTTTTTTTTTTTTTTTTT